TACTGAAGGGTCGTCGCAAGGGCATTAAGGAAAGGTAGAGCGCATGCGCATGTAACAGCTTCCGCCTGCTCCTTGCCCTTCTGGATGTGCATTTGTACATTCTGTCTCCTAGTTCCTTTTGGCACTGCGCTTCGCCACTTTTATTCTTTCCAACTGATAAAAGCGTCTAAACGGTCATATAATATGTTTTTCCGATTTGATTGGCTCATTGAATGCGTTCATAGCGGTTCACGCCTACATGAGTGTCCTTGAGAGAAACTGCAACCCTCACGTGCCTGTTTGTCCCATAGCGTCACTTGAGTTATTTGTAGAAGCTACGATTCCCTTCGTTGTCGAATTGTCTTCTAGCAACATTTCGCATGCTATGCCGCTAAATCATGCATTGATGTTGTCCCCTGTTTGTTTTTATTTGACGCATTCTGCTGTCCGAGTGTACCATTGGTGGCAAATGCTTACTGTTACTGATGCATCTTATGCATGCATTTTTCGTATTTACCTGCTGAAGTTCATTAACGTTCTCCCCTGATTTTCCTTAGGTCCTTCTTTCCTCGAATAAAGTCGCATAGTCTAGCAAAGACCAAAATGCCCCAACCAAATGGTCATCCCTCAAGTAAGTAAACACTTCAGATATTTTACATAAGTACCATCAATACTGGCCCATTCCTTCCAGTTTGCGTTTTTATCAATAATGCATACTTGTGTTTAACGGCTAAGATAAGATGGTTAAGATTCATTTTCGAACTCATGGCTGGTTGTAATGACCAATGATTATCTCATCGATTTCGTTTAGTCTAGGATTATTCCTGCCCTCGATTCTCGGAACAGATTTAATATGAAGATTCGTTTACTGGCTGACTCAACTAGACTCCCCAAATGCTCCTTCATTGTTCCTGCTTTATTTGTTCCTTCCTTTAATTGTGCTATTTGACAGCAGTGGTAGTTAAACGGAGTGGTCCGTTCTCTCATAATAAAATGGATTTCATTGCTGCTGACTAGTTTAGCCTCATCAGTCAGGGATAATTATTTCGGCTGTGTTATCCACAACTCTCCAAACCGCTCACACGAAAAAATAGAGAACATCTTGCGCATTAATCAACCCATGCAAGCAGCTTGACTTTGTAATACGTGGGACTTAGTGACTAGAACTTTGATATTTTGCCTCACTTCGTCCTTTATTTTATTCGTCCCATTTGATATGGTTTCCTCGCATTACCTCTGACGGGTACCCATATTGTATTTAATATAAACTTTTTTGGTTTATTGTTATATACTCTTGTTAAATCCTTTCCGGAATGCTGATTGCAGAAGGTCTTCTAAGACTATAGGCCTGGCTACTTCTTCAGATAAACTTTTTATTAGCAAATTTAAAGAAAATGATAAACTCCAGCGAAAACCGACTACTATATATTCAGGAACTCCCGTCACATATTAACTGGTTGGGGTCTTGCCAGGCTTTGAGCTGGCCTTGTCGTCTATTCCGTCTAGGGCGAAGCCGCAATATATTAACCTAAGTACAAGGGCTAGTGTAGTTTTACGGATTCTAAACGTAGTCATTTTCTGATATTCCATTATACGCCAGGTAGAGGAAACACCTGCCTATGGGCTACCTAGTTTTGTCTCAAGCTCACTGGATTATTATGTCCCAGATAAGTTTTTTTAGTCCTTTTGCATTTTTGCGTACTCCTGTAGATTGAGCTTCTGA